GATGAAAGAAAGTTTACAGACAACCCAAAAGTCTAAGAACCACGGAACAGGAACTGCATGTCCTCGGGGCTCAGAGACTCCATGGCCTTGTCGTCGGCGTTGACGGTAGAGTTGATCATGTTGGTCTTCTTCTCCTGAATCAGCACCATGCGGCTCTCGACCGAGTCCTCGATGCAGAGACGGGTGATGGTGCAGGGGCGGGTTTGACCAATGCGGTGGCAACGATCGGCGGACTGCCACTCGGCGGCAGGGTTCCACCAACTACATGTAATGTTAGCTACCCTAAGTAGTAATAGTATTGAGACGTGGGGACTTACGGGTCAACGATGAAGACGCGAGACGCCTCGGTGAGGTTGAGCGCGACACCACCGGCCTTGAGAGAAACGAGGAAGCACTCGCACTCGGTCTTGGTCATGAAGTGGTCGATGGACGCCTGGCGCTGCGCGGGGCTCATGCTGCCGTCGAGCATGACGGTGGTGATACCGGCGCGACGAAGACGCCACTCGATGAGCTGCAGCATGGACGAGAACTGCGAAAAGATGATTGACTTGTGCGAAGCATTGTCGGAGCGAAGCTTGTGAAGCTCGTGGACGAGAAGCTCAATCTTGGAGGAAGAAGTCCATTCTTCCATCTTGATTCGATTGATAATCGAAGACTTCTTGACATCGGCCTCATTCTGCTCAATCTCGGGCTGCTCCAAGTCGATGGCCAGCGCAATGTGGCAGCGGGGACAGTCAGGCTCAGCGGAAGACAACAGGTAGCTTCTAGCACAGGCGCGGCAAAAGTCGTGCTTGCAGCGGCTCCTGATGGCATCCTCGGCCGGCTCGTCACATACGCCGCACATGAGTGTGTTCTGGCCGCCCTCTCCATGCTTGCGAAGGATCAGATCGGGATGATCGGCCACCTGGCGCATCTGCATAATGAGACCAAAGATGTTGGCGTAGTTGTTGAGCAGGACACCCTGGGCGACGTACGTCTCGAACTTGCGCTGGCCGTTGGTCATGATGCTGTTGGCGAAATCATTTTCCGCTTCACCAAAGAATTGGCGGTCAACGTAGATCTCCTTGACGGGGAGTTCCATGGAGTTGGTGTGATCCTTCTTCAGGCGACGAAGCATGATGCGATCGGTCATCAGACGGAGCTTCTGGAAGGCTTCGCGGCCCGGTCCAAAGTTGCCAAACTTCTGAATGGGGTTGAGGAGCTCCTGGTTGAATACAGACACGTGCTGCATGCCGGCGTGTCCGCACGAGTGGCAACGGTGATCGTCGTCCAGGTTCCAATCCAGGCCGGCACAGGGGCACTGCTTGCACAAGTACGACGCGAAAGGCGCGACTTGAAGGAAGCGGATCAAGGAGAAGAACTCGCCAATGCGGTTCTGGAGCGGCGTACCGGTGAGGCACCAACGGTACGAGGTCTTTAGAGCAAAGCAAGCCTTGGCCGTCATGGTAGTACGAGTCTTGATGCTGTGGGCCTCATCGAGGATGATGCGGTGGAAGTCGACCTGGTGGATCAAGCTCTTCTCCTTGTGTACACCGTCTTGGCGGGTGAAGCCTTTCTCCTGCTTTCGGTACATGGACTCCAGACTGTTGTACGACATCATGATGACATTGTACTTCTTGAGCTCCTTCAGGGTCATGTTCTTGGCGTTCTTCATAGTACCGTGGTAGACAAAGACCTTGAGGGTGCCGTCCGTATAGGACTCAATCTCGCTCTTCCACTGCATCAGAGCAACGGGAGGGACCAGGACGAGGGAGGGCTTCTTCTGGGGATAGTCGGACATGACCAGGGACACTGCCTGGATAGTCTTGCCGAGACCCATCTCGTCACCCAATAGGCCGCCTTTGTAGTCAGTCTTTTCCATCTCCATCATCCAAGCGACACCCTCGAGCTGGAAGGGCTTGAGTTGACGCGAGATCTGCTGCGGCTGAGCAATCTTGTCGGGCCTGAGGGCCGGAGACGCCTCCAAAGTCTGCCACATGGTGAGAAGCTCAGGATGGTTGTTCTCCAACCTGGCGCGTTCAAGCATGCCGCGGCGCTTGGAGCCACGTTGATAGGCGCGGCGACCACGGGATTGTGCCGCCACGGCGCTTTGGAGACCGCCGTCACTATCGGCTGCGTCAGAGTCCGAGCTGTCAAAGTCGCCGCTATCGAGGCTCGACAAAGCATCGTCATCGTCTTCAGGAAGTCCCTCAGAGGCCGGGGGCAGCGTCGAAGCAGAAGCTCTAGTCCGTCTGGCTGGCTGCTTAGCCTTGCCCTTTGCCTTTGCTTTCTTGGGGATCTTGTTGCTATCATCGTCCTCTAGTTCAGAAAAGTTGTCCGAGAGATCGCTAAGCTCATCGTCCTCCGTTGAATCTGCGGGTTCATCCTCGTCATCCGACTCAGGAACCACAGTCTTCTGCTTCTTGGCGGGTCGCTGCAGAGGGGCGGCGCTCTTGGGGGGTCTACCTCGACCCCGACCACCAAGCTTGGACCGAGAAACAAGCGGAACGTCTTCAGAGTCGGCGTCGCTGTCCTTTACCGCGGCCTTAGCAGCGGCAGCAGTCGCACGACGACCGCGACCGGTGGCAAGAGGGACATCAGACTCATCCATTTCGTACTCCTCTTCCTGGAGACGTCGAGCAAGGGCGGCATCAGACAGGCTGGTGGAGGAAGTCGATTTCTTGTTCTCTTCTTTCTGGAGGCGGCGGGCGACCAAAGCATCCCGATCATTGTCAGATGGCTCCTCATCCTCTTCATCGTCGTCGTCGTCATAGTAACCACTCCCAACCTTGCGCTTGGCTGGCTGCATGGCATACTGGCTGTGGCGCAGAGCACGCTCGTTGAGTTCACCAGAAGTGGGAAGCTGGACCTCGATTTTGGATGCAGACTGAGATGCTCCGAGACGGGGGTTTCTCAAAGCGGCAGGCAGCACGAGAGGGACATGGCCAGAGCCAGAGACTGAGGGAGCGGGTGTAGCGACGTTGCTGGTAGCAGGAGTGGAGGCTTCACTAGCAGAAGTGAGGTCGGCAGATGCCGCAGCAGACGCAGACGCAGATGAGGATGCCGAGTCGTTGGCCAGGGAGGCTCTGCTGGGTCGACCTCGACCTCTCTTGGCAGTCGAAGGGGCCGAAGTCACAGGTTGAGCCGCAGCTGTAAGGTTACGGCTCGATGCAGATCTAGTGAGACGGCCGGTACCAGCAACAGACAGAGGGTCAGGGGAGTCTGTCGGGGGTGTTAATTATCAATTCCATTTTGCGCACACAATCATCCATGATTTGATGGTGATGAAATGTGCAAGCCGAAAAATGAATTAAATCAACGACTTACTGCTTCGGGTGGAAGCCATGCTCTCTCTCTGAGCGAGAGAAGGGCGACCACGACGGCCAGTCATCTTGACGGTGATGATAACCTTTTGGTGCAATGAGGTGGATTTTGTGCACTTGCGACCTCAATTTTGAGAAAGTGAATTGAAGTCTGTCGGTAGTTTCCACACAGAGGTGAAGGTTTGGCGTCGGTTGACGTGAGAAGAAAGTTGGGATGGCCGGGACAAAGCTCGGCAAGTGGTGGCGAACAGTCTCAGCTTATCGCCGAAGAAGCTTGGAGACTGTGCACCAAGGGGGGTCGATTGGGGTATCTCGGTACCTTTTGGTGAGGGAGGGGAAAGGGACGAATTGGAATTGTAGACTGCTCTGGGGTAAGGTAGAGGCCACAGTCTGACGGTTGGTGATGTGAAAAAGGGAAGAAAAAAAAGAGGCAAGTGGTGGTGAAGATGGCCAAGGGAAAAAAGAATTTGGACTTGCCACTGGCGAACTCCTTTTCGGTCAGGCAAAGCTGAGAAGGACCGCCTCACCTCAGACAAGAGGGATGGGGAAGGAGGGGACCTGGGGAGATCAAGGACGCGCCCTTCAATGGCGGGCTCTGTACACGAAGTCACGTGACCTCTTTGTCAGGGATGAGAAGGCGCCCAGACGCAGGGGCGACTGCCTAAAGCCTGAAGCCAGTCTGGAAATGGGAAGTTTTTTTTTTGTTAGCTTGGCTGGGATCTAGGCGCTGGTCGCTGGTCGCTGGTCACTGGTGTGAACATTAACGTTCTGTCGCTAAGATGATGCACACGTTCCATGACGGGGGTTCAAACTAGCTTATCAACGTATCTACTGCGTAGCAAAGCGAATGGCTTCCTGGCTGCCATTTGAAAAAGGACAAAGGTACTTCCCACTTGGCATACAAAAGCATCGTCAGAAATAGTTTCATCTGCCAGGGGAACACATATCACGACTGAAATGGCAGCATTGGATGCAGAGGCAGATGGCCGATCTCCATATCCCTGGGGCTCCAGTGTGACGATTCGACTTGGGCGATCGATCTGCTCCCCGACGACTCCGGTACAGTGGCTCTGTGGCTCCTTCCATTCGAGTTGGCCTTCCCCACGACGGGACTGCTGTGGACCCACTTCAATTAAACCCCTGCAGCTGTCTACCTCTCGTGCCTGTTCAAGTCCCCTGGGCTGTCACTTGCATCTTCCACACGGTGCATCCTCACCAACATCCTTGCTTCCACCCACGGATTTCGAGAGATTGGCAATCACCAGTACAGTGTGCCGCAAACTTCACCCTCCAACACCTGGTCTGGGCGTATCGATCCAGGAACCAGACTCCAGAAGACACTACTTCTTTGTCGCCTCCTTTCAATTTGCCCCCGAACCAGCGCATCACGGCATTGTCAACAATTGTGATTTTCGCAGCTTGGTGTCTGCCTTTTTCTTCAACCAAAGGTCTGGACTGTGGCCTATTTTCAGCGCAGCAACCTGCCGGTGGTGTCCATCGTTCCTACCCCTTGGCTAGTCTGTGATTCAGACAACTTTGCCACACCTATCCGGAAGGGATTTCTCAGTCACGACTCGCATCAACACCCAAGGATTGAACTTCATCACAACTGTAGCTCTAAAAAAAGGTTTCGACTTAACTCGTCAGGTTAAACTCATCCAACACTACACACAGAGACTGGAAGTATCCGTCACTAAAATGGCGAGACCATCTCGTCGATCCCAGGTTCAGGCTGCCCATGCCGCTCAAGGCCAGAACCAGAACCAGACTCCTCAGCAGGGTCAAGCAGCTCCTCAGGATGGGGCCGAAGGCACTGTCCGTATCACTCGCCACATCTCTGGACCGTGAGTTCTTCTACTCCCCATGCGCATCTCATCACTGACACGAATCTAGACAATCGGCTTTGACCGACTACCTTGCCGTAAGAATCTCGACTAAACTTACCATCTGTGCAAACTGACAGTGTCCTTTCATAGGCACACAACATCTCTGCAAACCAGATTCGCCGGGATGCAGACCAGCGTCGTGCTGCTGCTGCTGCCCAGAACCAAGCAGACAATGCCAACGGAGATGACGATGAGGAGACCGAGGCCGGCCCTTCAACAGCGTCTGCCGGGGCTGCCCAGTCCGGCCGCAATGAGAATGCAGCTGAGAAGGCGAAGCGTCAGAAGAAGGAGCAGATGGCCATTGCAAAGATCAAGGCCTCCAAAGCGTTTAAGAAGCGCAAGCACCGGGGCATGGAATCAGAGGATGAGGACGACATAGCACGCGCCCTCTTCGAGCAGATGGCCCAACCCTTGCCAGGCCAGATGGATAACTGCGCTATTTGCAAGAAGCGCTTCACCGTCACCGCCTACTCTCTGAGTGGCCCTGAGGGTGGTCTACTCTGCGCGCAGTGCAGCAAGGACGAGGCTGCCAAGAAAGGCAAGGGCAAGCAGAAGCCCAAGAAACCCGTAGGTGGCCAGGGTAAGCGTCGCAAGATGCAGAGCAACATCCTCGACGGCACATACCAGACTGGCGCCAAGAACTTGACCACTCTCTGCATCGAGACTCTGGCCAAGAATGTCGATCTCGCCGACAGCTTGGGCGATTTGCCGGAGCAGGTGGTGGACAAGATTGCGCGACTCTTCTCCAAGCGTCGACTGCTCAGCCCCGTGACGCTGCCTCTGTTTGTGCAGCCGTCGACCACGGTCCTTCACATTTACGACGGCGCCAAGCTGGGCTCCAACGAATTCGAGAGCATCTTCCAGACGGCACCCAACCTCAAGAGATTCAAGGCTCGCAACTCGATTCAGTTCAAGGACGAGGTCATGGACTATCTTCTGAGTCGCGATATCAAGCTTACGCATTTTATTCTTCACGGCGCCAACCTCCTCAGCGATGAGAGCTGGACCAAGTTCGTCCAGCAGAAGGGTGCCCATCTGGAAGCCATTCAGGTCTACTACACGGACAAGCACGTTGGCGACGAGCTGCTCGCTCTTCTCCCCGAGACTTGTCCCAACCTGAATCGCCTCAAGGTCTACCACAACCAAAAGGTCACCAATGTCGGCGTCAAGTCAATCGCCGACATCAAGTCTCTGAAGCACCTCGGCCTTCATCTGCAGCACGATATCACCTCCAAGAGCCTGGCCCACATGATCCACGGTGTAGGCAAGGATCTGGAGACGCTTTCCTTGAAAAAGATGCCCACGGCCAACGACGAGGTGTTGACTGCGATCAGAGAAAGCTGCCGTTCCCTCAAAAAGTTTCGCATCACCGACAGCGAGCACATGACGGACGAGGGATTTGCGGACCTCTTTAACAACTGGGAAAACCCCGGTATCGAGATCATTGACCTCCAAAAGTGCCGCTACCGCGACTCGACCAAGCCCCGCGAGAACGAAGACGGCATTGGTCTCTGCTCCGACGGATTCCGTGCCCTAATGAAGCATTCCGGCAAGAAGCTGAAGAACCTCAACATTCACGCTTGTCGTCACATCAAGCGAGAGGCGTTCGAGGACGCCTTCTCTGAGGAGGACCAGTACCGCAACCTCGTCAAGCTCGAGATCAGCTTCATCGAGGAGGTGGATGATTTCGTTCTCGGACGCATCTTCCGAAGCTGCCCCAACATTCGCGAGATCAATGTCTTTGGATGCATGAAGGTCAAGGATGTCCGGGTCCCCAGAGGCAAGGTCGTGGTTGGCGTTCCGAACGCCATGGGAATGGTCGTTGAAGGTCGCGATGATTAACTGCAGCTTTGTAAGGGATGGTGGGAGTGCAAAGGATTGGTAAACAGTCGTCGATCGCCATGGTCTCTGGCAGCTAGCCAGGCTTCCATGTTTCTTAGGGTCAGGCTGAGGCGTTATGGTGGAACCTCGGGTACGGGCGTTCAGCCGGATTTTCTCATTCAAAAGGACAGGTCGGCCGGCATTCAAGTTCACATCAGGTAGATAGTTGGCGAATACCAAATCATCAGAGTCAGTCGTGCGATAGAAAAGCGAGGTTTTCTCGGAAGCAAATCGATATGCAGGTCGGCGCGGACCAAGCAGACGGCCCACTGTCTCCTGCGGAACACGGGCGGGAACTGGGGCCAGTGACGGGGACTAAAACACCGCCACAAGCTGCCGCAGGGCGGAGTGGGGCCAGCCCGGCTCAGCCTCAGCTCCCTGCGTAAGACGGCAGCGGGAGGAGACGCTCACAGCTGGATGCCACGGATGCGCTACGCCGCCAGCAGGTTGCCTTGCATTCCACGCATCCACAGGGCAGTTCATCCACCCAGGTCCCCTGCTCATGCCTCTAACCTCCCCCTGACTATCCGTATCACAAACCAGGCTTGTTGAGCTGAGCCAACGCAGCAGTTTACCATTTCGTGGGCCCTTTTTTCTTTTCGTGGCCATCGATCAGCAGCAGCAATTCTTCCGTCCCTGACCGCCATGGTCATTTCCCCTTCTTAGCTATCCTCTTTCTCTCTCTTTTCCCTTTTGAGTGACTGGATGGATCTCGCTTGTCCACAATCATCCTCTTCCGAAATCATGTCTCGTCGCTGGGCGCGAAAGCTTGAACGCTGCTGTTGCACTTTCGCGACCTACATCCCTCTGCTCTTCGTCTACGGCTTGACCACCTGGGCCGTCTGGGTGGATGTCACCATCGGGTCCCTGCCTTCCAAAGCTTCATGGCTCGGTAAGTAGTCCGCTCATGCATGCCCGCCGCTTCCTGACGATACATCACCATAGGATCCGCGTCTTCCGCCGGTGCCCTCCTCCTCTACGGCCTACTCAACTGGTCCTACACCACCGCCGTCTTCACGAGCCCCGGGAGCACGACAAACGATAATGGCTACAGTACGCTACCGACCGAGGCGCCCCCGGCCGCCACCTCCTTCACTGTCAAGTCCAACGGCGAGCTTCGATTCTGCAAAAAGTGCCAGGCGAGGAAACCCGACCGCGCCCATCACTGCTCGACCTGCCGCCGCTGCGTCCTGAAAATGGATCACCACTGCCCTTGGCTGGCGACCTGCATCGGCTTGAAGAACCACAAGGCCTTTTTGCTGTTCCTCATCTACACGACGCTCTTCTGCTTCTACAGCTTCTTCGTCTCCGGCAGCTGGGTGTACATGGAGGTCATCAACAACACGACGTACGTGGAGACGCTGATGCCCATCAACTACGTAATCCTCAGTGTCATCGCCGGCATCATCGGCATTGTCGTGGGCGCCTTCACGGGGTGGCACATTCTGCTCGCGAGCAGGGGCCAGACGACAATCGAGTGCCTGGAAAAGACGCGGTACCTCTCGCCACTGAAGAAGCAAATGAAGCACCAGTTCGTCGCTCAGCATAACGGCGAGGGTATCCCCCTGCCCGCCTACGGCCAGCAGCTCCTCGACATCCACGCAAACGCCCTCCCGGGCATCACGCGACCCGAAGAAGGCGAAGAATACCGCGGTGGCGGCGGCGGCTCCTCGAGGCCCGGGGGCGGCGCCACGCACCAGTCGTACGAAGAGATGGAGCGCGAGCGCGCGAAAAAGCGCTATGAAGAGTACCTCGACGAGCAGGACTCTGAGAAGCTCCCCAACGCATTCGACCTCGGCGCGAAACGGAACCTGCTGCACCTCTTTGGTCCCAAACCCTTACTGTGGTTTGTCCCCGTCTGCAACACCACCGGCGACGGCTGGGCCTGGGAAGCCAGCCCCAACTGGTTAGCCGCCCGCGAGCGTCTCGCGAGGGAACGTCAGGAACAGCGCGCACGCGAGATCAACGCCGGCTGGGGCACCGACGAGCCCCCGACGTTTATGCGGGAAGCGCCGCCCACAAAGCCCGACGGTGCGGGCCGACACTATCTAACATCGCCTCCTCCCCCTCCCTCCGGCGCCAACGGTGGATCGCGTAAGACGCCCTCCAAGGCCGACCGGGTCCTTGGCCGCGACCCGAACCTCTACGCCGACGGGTTCCAGGAGTCGATGCCCATGCGGAAGCTCAGCCCACGCGGGCGGGCCCTCGAGGACGAGCTGGACGACAGTGACCTCGACATGGAGGATCCCGCGGCGGCGGAGCACCGCGCGCTGAACCTGGTGACCAACGGCGGGTGGGGACGCAGCGGGGCCAGCGGGTTGTTGAGGAAGCCTAGCCCGTCTTCGCCGTCGTTTAGGGACCAGCCCGAGAACGATGATGATGTGGATTGAGGTGGCGGAGGAAGATGAATCAGAAAGAAAGAGAGAGAAAAGAAACCTTTTTTTTCATTCAAAACAAGGGCAAACAGAATGAGCGTTTTAGAAAGTGATATCCAGAAAGCGTAATCTTCATGTTCCGTCAACAAGGACGATTGGGGTTCACTAGGGGTTTAGAAAGTGTATAACGCATTTCATGTACGGCTTTTTTTTTTTTTTTGTAACTTCACAAGGGGATCAAGGCACTCGGATTCTGAAATGTACATTCTTCAAGGTGTCTCTCTTCCAAGTCCAAGATTGGTGTTTTGGGTGTTTTCTGGGCTTCCTGGCTGAGGGACTGGGGGAGAATTCCCTCCGCCTCTGCTGGGAACGGATGATGATGTTTTCTTTGGTAGCAACTTTTTTGCGAATTGAATCTCTCTTCGTTCAATGGATTGGGAAACTGTGCTGCTCTGGTTGAAGCATGAAAAAAAGATGAACCCCCCCCCCCCCCCTGAACTCGAATAGGCTCTGCAAGACTATGGGAATTGATGGTGAGTCCTCAGAACTAGGTTCACTGTGGTCGTACGTTTGCCCCTTTCAACTGCATTTTTAGCAGGAAAAAAGGAGAAGAGAGAAGGAAATTTCCCAGACGTCTGGAAGAGAGAGATACGGCTGGATCCAACTTCGTGGGGATCTGTAGGAACACTCTGGAAGGGCTTACCTGGGGAGCGCGCATGTGGCTTCATTGGATTATCCCACGTCGAGAGATGATCCCCTGGATAACAGCTCTGGCCAAAGGGGGGCCTGGCTGTTGCCAAATTCGCAAGGATGGTTGAGACTCCTTCTTGTGTCTTGAGCAGACGTCTCTGATATTCTAGCCCAGACGCGAAAGGTCCTTTGGCTACCAGCTCTATCAATGCTAGTTCTTCTTCTTCTAACATGGTCTTTTCCCACCGCCTTAATCCGACTCTTCATCACTGTATTCGCCCTCGCTATCATCCTCCTCGTCATCATCAAACTCGTCATCCTCATCTTCTTCAAGCTCCTCCTCGTCCTCGTCGCCCTTGAGGCCGTAGTCGTCGTGGAAGTAGGCGAGCTGCTGGACATCTGTTTTATACCCCATCTCCTTGAAGGCCTTTTCAATGTTCTGCAACCACAGGTCAGTAAATATTCGCTATAAAGCTATACCACAAAAAACATACCTCTTGCAGGATCGGAGCGCAGGTAATAACAACGTTACTCTTGCCCGGCTCGAAAACAGGCATGACGAGCTCCTTGAGCACCGTCTTGATTTGCTCGTCCGTCACGTCCCGGACGTCCCTCATGACCTTCTTGTGCCAGTCCAGCGGCAGGCTGCGCACGACGCCGAGCATGAAATTCTGCGCCGCCGACGACGCCATGGTCGACTGCTCGTCGGCGAACTGCACAACGACCTGGCTGATGGCGCCCTCCTTGAGGTGGCGGTCGATCTCGACCTCGCCCTCGGCGATCTTGCGGATCGTCTCGCGCGATACGGAAAAGGCCTTGCTGGCGTCCGGCGAGCGGTAGACCTTGTACTGGATCACGCCCGTGTCGAGCTCGCGGCCGAAATACGAGCCGTACGCCAGCCCCTGGCCGCGGACCGAGTTCCAGAGGGGACCCTCGGTGGTCTCGAGGTAGCCGATGGCCACCATGATGGCCGGGAGCCGGGGGTCGTCGAAGGAGGTGATGCCCTTGGCCGTGCTGACGCCGTAGGAGCTCTCGGCCGTAGTCATGGGCACGATGGTGGCGCCTACGGTGCCCGGGTTCTGGCCCTCCTTTGTGAGCAGGGTGTGCGGCTTGATGATGGGGAGCAGCTCGTTGGAGCCCTTGAGTTGATTGCTGAGGATGTCCCAGGCGGCCACGGGCTCGGGCAGGCGGGCGACGTCGGCCGTGACGAGGATGCGCACGTTGTTCGAGGTGAAGAGGGACTTGCGCAGCTGCTCGAACCAGGAGAGGACCTTTTCCGGGTCGGAGGCAATGAGCTTCTTGAGGCGGCGCAGGTAGATGGCTCTGACGAGTGCGCGCTTGGCGACCGAGTAGGACTCCTTCTTCATGTGGATGGACATGTCGATCTCAGACGCCATTGATCTGCCGTCACGCTTCAACTCAGGAATATCGGCCAAGTGCTTCTGAACGCCCGCCTTGAGGCGCTGGATGTCAAAGACGCTGTCGAACATCATGGTGCGGATCCAGTTGATGACGGTAGAGTACTTTGCAGGCTCAATCTGGAACTGGATCATGACGCCGTCGGGGTCGCCGTAGTCTCGTGTAGAGCGCAGACCATAGCTAATGGTGTCCTGCTCCAGCTCCATGACGACCTGTTCGAAGCCGACCTTCTCTCCATTGCGCATGATGGGAGTGTTGAAGAAGTTATCGTTGAAGATGGGCAGCAGCGGCTTCAGCTCGATCGGCACCTGCGATGTACCGAGATAGACCGTCAGGTGCACAAAGTTGGTCGGCACGCTCTCAAATTGGATGAAGAGGGGGTCTTTTCCTTGCTTGGCGCCGTCAATGACCTTTTGTGCCGCGTTGTCGACGAGCCCGAGGCTCTCGGCCTTTCCAGACCTCGCCGTGTCAGACTCGATGAAGTGGATCGATTCAGTACCAGGGACAGCCCACTGATCGATCACGGAGGCCGGGATGGGCTCATCGTTCTTGGCCTTGGCAGCCTCGAGGCGTTTCTTGAGGTCAGCCAGACCCTCAGCGCCAAGCTCCTCCTTTCTCTTTGCAAGTCTCGCTTCCTCTTCGGCCTTTTGCTTCTTTGCGAGCTCGTGGGACGGCTTGCCGAGGATGGAGACGTGGGGAGCATCAGACAGCCACTTGCGCAAAAAGTCTCTCCATTGGACGTCGGTCCACTTCTCGAGCTCTTCGTACTCAGATAGGGACTGCAAGTCCTTGAGTGTCGAACCATCACGCTTGCCAAAGAGGTAGTCCGTGATGATGTTGTTGGAGTAGAAGCCCTCAGACTCTTCGGCCTGGAACTTGACCTGAAGGCGTTCGCGGTGGATGCATGAGGTCAGGTATGTCATGTCCAAAGGCTTCGATGCCACTTCCTTGAGCAGGTCGACGAGCCTCTTCTCGACAAATTCCAGCTTGTCCGTCTCGACGCCAGTCGGTTGGAACCAAATCACAGAGTTGGGCCTGGCATCCCACCAGTAGGATACGGAGCTGGCAAGCTCCTCCTTTTCGACAATGACGTTCTCGAGAATCGACACAGAGGAACCGCAAAGATAGGTCAGCAAGACGTTGAGTGCAGACGTCTCGATGGTGTTGGTACAGTTGGGGCCGTAGAAAGCCACAGTGATCTCGCCGACGGACTCGTCTTCTTCCGGGAATTCAGCTGTCGTGATGATGGTCTCCTGGAGCGCTGGGGGCTGTGCTGAGTCGATCCAAGGTCTGCAAACTCACGTCAGCATGGTGTTATTAGGCATGTGGGACTGAACTACCTCTTGAAAGGGGAATCCAGCGGCGGAAGGTCGTCCTTGATGCTCTCCTCGAACTCGTCCAGGATCTGCAGCAGTTCGTTGTGGTCTGCTTCGCCAATTATGACCACGGCGAGGTTGCGGGGCTGGTACATGTCACGGTGGAACTGGCGGATGCGATCCGGGGTTAGGACCCTGAGGGCCTCCGTCATGCCTCCGGTCTCGTATCGGAAGCCCACGTTCTCCGGGTACAGCAGCCTGCGCGCGCGAAGATCCATGATCTCGGCGCTCTTGAACTGGACGGCCTGCATTTCTGAGTAGACAACACCCGCATCATTGCCCTCACCGTCAATATGGTGCACTTCGGTGATGCATGCCTCGTCCGTGATGACGGGCACGATGACGTGCTCGAGGTACACTGGCAGGATTTGGGAGAACCCTTCCCAGCCGGCGCTCTCCAGCGTGTACGCGGTGTGATCCGTCGCAGTCCAGGCGTTGGTCCCAGAGTAGGCTCGGGAGGCCAGCTTGTCGAGAAGTCCCTTGTAGCGGTAGTTCTTTGAGCCCATGAACACCAGATGCTCAAGAGTATGAGGGGCGCCTGAGTCGTCAAAGATCTCGGTTGCGAGAGTGAAGTAGCCGTTGGTCTTGGGGCCCTTGCGATCGGCTACAATCACCTGCATGCCGCTCCTCTCCGAGACATACTGGCTGATTTGGCAAGGGGCGTAGTCCGTCTTGAAGCTCTGGACCTTGCGGAACCGCGACTGCGGCTTGGGCTGCTCCTCAGGCGACATGGTATGTGGCTTTGCTTTACACAAGCTTTGGAATGATCTGACAAGATGGTCAACGTGGTGTCTTGTGTGGAGGCATTTGTAGGAGGTTCTTATAGAGGTACGGGAAGGGGCACAAGAGCACAGGGGCTGGAAAAGTCATGGGCAAATAGTTTCATGGAACTTGGGTAAGGAGACAACAAACGCAGCTGAAGCAGGGTGATACGAGTCTCCTGATGAAGCTCTTCACCGGAAAATAGGAAGTAGCTGTTGAAAACGGGAGGGAAAGATAACCAGACAGCGGATAGATGCAGTATTTCGTATGACAAACGGTCATACGTCCGTGAACACCAGGACACCCGGTCTGGGAAGAGACATACCCAGCTCTGTTGGATAAGATATGTCCATGATGGGGAACAAGACAAGCCGCCAGAAGCGCAACGGCCACGGCAAGCGCCACTTGACTGGCTCCAAACTTCAACATGTCGACGTGTCAGACACGGGAAGGATGCCCTTAGACAGTCGTGTGAAGCTTGCAGCCTCGCAATGGTGCAGCGTAATGCGCCATCGTAAACAAGCAGTTGACAGGCGAAGAAGAGAAGTAGAATGACAAGGGGCCAATCGGGGGAATTCACTTCAGCCAAAAAGGCTTGACAGAAAAGGACGAGTAGGACGGACAGAAGAAAAAGGCGCAGCAGCTTACCGTACAGAAACCGGCTTTGCCAGCCTGATGGTCAGAGATGAAGAAGACCAATGAGGCTTCCCGAAGCGTATTGACCAGCCCGTGATAGGGAGCGATGTAGCGGTTACCTAACCGCCGCCACGATAAATGCTGACTCAAGGATGGAGGGGTATCGACAGCACTGGAGAACGAGCTGATGCTGAGGCTTACAGGCGGTCCTCAGGACTAGGTATATATGGCTGCTTTGGTTTCCCGTGGGCGCTGCGTTTTGCGAGTTGCCGGGTTTGTTCGCTTCGTCGCGGGGCACGAGAACGTGAGAGATGTCGCTGGCCGTACAATGAACGCACTAATCCATCTGCCCCTCCAAAGTCCAGGGCAAGGGACCAGTGGAGTTTATCTTTATTTTTTGATTTTCGCAAAGTCATCGGCGGGGTGGTGACTCCCGATTGGCCCCTTGCCGCGGGAGACCACGTTTGGTCCAGCGCCAACCGCTCGGCACAAGGTCGGATCAGACGCGAGGTACGTACTGGGGGCCGACATTGAATTGTGACGTGGGTGCTTTCGGGACAGCTATGCAATCCAATGTCATAATTGCCCGTAGCTCATCGCCCGGTTTTATGCGGCATCGCTTCGAACACGAGGCAAAGTCCTCCTGTCGCCCGTTTCTTGGCTACATATTTGCAGAATCACGACGCTCCTGAACTCTAGGCAAACCCTCCAAAACCTAGATCCACCGCATTTCATTTCCTGCCTGCTGTCCGCCCTGACTCCTCCTGGCGCCCCCGACCGAAGCGGCCCCGCGATATTGAGAGCTTCGAGGAGCTACACGTGTGACCGGCGCACGGCAGTGGAACGAGGAGATGGCCGTCGAAACAGATCAGAATGCCTCTGCGCAGCTCGGAGAGGCCGTGGTTGCCTTTGCGCTCGAGGGGCGCTTCCCCGACGAGCATGTATCATCGCTGTCGCTGTCCTCCTCAGATCTGTCGCCTGCGATTGATGCGCTGGAACGAGCCAAGGGTGATTTGGAGGTAATGCGAGGCCCACAGCGAGCGATGCCAGCTTCTTACTGATGCATGCGCAGTCCGAAATCCACACGATAAACGAAGAGACCAAGGGGGACGTCAGCTCGTGGGTGCACAATGCGAAAACACTACAGGAAGACATCTTGCGGTCCAAGAGGCTGGCCGATGACATCGTCCGACAATCGGAAGCGCCGCAGGTTTCGGGAAAGGCCATACAAGATGCGGAGGACCACATTCAGTTTCTCGAGAAGGAGGTGCTATACACAAACCAGCTGCACGACGCCCTCAGGGGAATCCAGCATGTCAACGAGCTTTTGGGGGAGGTGGAGCAGGCGATGAACGAGCGGCGCATCATTGATTCGCTGCGGTGGCTGGAGAGTAAGGACCGAAAAATCGAATCGGCATCAAGGCAAGGGGCTAATGCTGTGCAGAATCTTGGACAGAGCTCGATGCTGTCCCAGTCAACAAGAAGGCATGCCGGATCATGAGGCTCCTCGATGTGAGAGCTTTTGAGCTAAAGTCACATGTTCACGACGTCTTCGACCACGTCTGGGCATCGCTTGTTCACACAGATATCGAAGCCGGCACCCTGGCAATCTACAACAAGTTGGATGGTATTTGGTACCCGCCTCGTTGAATCCACAGGAAGCTAACAGAAGATAGACGAGCAAATGACGCTGCCAGAAGCCATCATTGGTCTTCAGGCCTACAAAGAGGTTGAAGACCGCATGTCTAAGCTGTGGCACGATGTTGACAAGGCCATTGTTTTCCCGCGCATGGACACTCAAGCCTCATCGCTGCCTTCCATCCGCGAGACTGAGGTATGTCCTAGAGATGATGTGGCGGCCCAGTTGCTAACCTCGGTAGAACGTTGTTGAGTTGAATGGCCAAGCTGGAAGATCAATCGACGAGCTCTTTACGGATCTCCAAAAGGTGGTCGAGTTCCTAGCCAAGAGACTGACGCCCGATCTCCTCATGTTCTTCAGCCCCATCATGATGAGCGACCTGGTCCCGAGGCTCATTTCAGTCTGGCTCGACTCAGAAGTGCCTTCAAATCTCAAGGATCTTGGGAGGTTCCAGGCCGTCATCGAATCTGCACGGCTCTTTTGCGAGGTCCTTGAAGACAACGGCTTCACTGGGTTTACGGAGCTCAAGGAATGGGTCGGCAGTGCGCCGTCAATATGGCTTGCAAAGTGCAGAGAAACAGCCCTTGATTCGGTCAGGGTGCAAATGTCAAACGGTCCGTCACCCAGTGTATGCCCACTCAAGATAGTGCTGACGTTACGTAGGTCTTGGCGCGACAAAACAAGTGGAAAAGGTGGAAAAGCAAATGGTGTCTCGCTCAGAAGGCAAGGAGTTGACGGCGAACGGTGTAGCCGGTACCGTTGCAGAAGATGACTGGGGCGCGGAATGGGGAGTTGACGACGACGAAGAGCCACCTGAAGCCAAGGACGACGCACAGGAGGAAGACGACGGTGCCGATGCCTGGGGATGGAACGATGAGGAGCAAACTACAGAGAGCACACAAGAGGAGACTGCACAGGCCGAGGACAAGCCGGCAGACGATGAGGACGACGCAGCCGACGCGTGGGGTTGGGGGGATGATGATGCGACAGAGCAAACAGAGTCAGACCCGAAGCCCCAGGCACCAAAGACGCAGACGAAAAAGCACAAGACGGTGTCTGCTGAACCAGATGAGAGCAGGGAGATGGTTCTCAAGGAGACATACCATATCTCCTCCATGCCGGAGCCGGTGCTGGAGCTTATACTGGCCCTTCTGGAAGACGGCGCAGCTCTGACACAGCCCGAGTATGTTGCGAGCCCTTGTCAACACGGAGATCCTTCTAACATTTGCAGGTACGAAAGCAGCCCAGTGGCAGCCGCCGCCCCGGGTCTCTTCAGTTTGCCGACGTTCGCATTAGCCATGTTTCGAGCAGTGTCGCCGCACTACTACTCACTTGACATTGGCGGGAACATGTAAGCGCCGATCCTGTGGGAGTATACTTTCGAAGCTGACCAAAGTCAAGGTTCCTCTACAACGATGCCATGTATTTGTCCGAGAAGCTGGCTGATCTGGCATCAACGTGGAAATCACGCGGGGATCTCACCACACGCGCCCAGAATATGCTGCGCATAGACAACGACATCAAGAGCCTGCAGAACTTTGCGACGCGCGCATACACTAACGAGCTTGGGTTGCAGAAAACGGTGCTGAGAGATTTGCTAGGAGGTACGTTGTGCTCTAGCCTGGGCTGAAAGCACTTGCTGCAGACTGCCGGCAGTCAGTATGACTTTGGAGCTAACGCGAGACGCACAGGCGATCAAAGTCTCATGCAGCAGGATGAACTGGACAGTTGCGTGGACTCGGCACTAGCGCGGGTCAGATCCATGGCGGTGACATGGGAATCGATTCTGGCGCGGTCGGTGTGGTATCAGGCGGTGGGGTCGCTCTTGGATGGGCTCTCGTCCAAGATTATCGGGGATGTCATGGACGCTTCGTCCATCGGGCAGGACGACGCGTACGGGATCGCGAAGCTCATTGCCAAGGTCGCGGAGCTCGACGACCTCTTTCTGCCGTCGCGAACGACGGGCGTGGCGGGGGCAGCGGCAGCAGATGAAATACCGACAACGGCGCAGTACGCGGCCACGTGGCTCCGTCTCAAGTACCTGAGCGAGGTGCTTCAGTCCAACCTCAATGAGGTCAAGTACCTCTGGTGCGACAGCGAGCTCAGCCTGTACTTTTCGGCGGACGAGGTCGTGGACCTCGTTGAGGCTAGCTTCGACGCTAACCCGCGGATGAGGGAGACCATCCGGGCGATTCGGGAGACCCCAAGCCCCGTGCACGGCTAATGGAAGAGGGGACGGGAACACCGGACGGTTGAGCCGGAGGGCCCGGGCGGCCGGCGCAAGAGCCGGAGCGAGATGATATGGGATGATGGCTCCGCTTGGGGTCGGGGTCATGGCCCATACGTGACGGGTGATGGGGGGCGAGAAGAAAAAACTTTTCCGACGCGAAAGAAGAATAACATACATTTAGCGGTTTTTGTGTATTGTCCAATTTCAAGGTGCTACATTGCTCTCCGAACATCAAGCGTTGTTATCCCCCCCCCCCCCCAATTCGATTCATCCATCCCAAAACGGGCTTGTGCTCGCCGTGCCCTTCCTCTCTACCAGTCGCTTTAATCTCACGCCCGTCCACCACTGTCTATTGCACACCCTCCCCCCTTTCTCTCTGTTCCTTTCCCCCACACGCACGCCCCCCCCCCCTTGTAC